GAAACATGAGGTAGGATCCAGCACTGAAAGCAGTAGGGAGCAAGCTCCACTTCCTACTGTATCTCTTAGGACACCCCAAAAACTCACTCCTGGTTGCTGGACAACCCTACGCACTCTGAAGCCTACAAAGGGGAAGAAGAAGGAAGGAAAGAAAGAACTCTGACACTGGCACCAGCACCACACTGGATTTAGGCCATGGATGGACCTTCTGAGTTAGCCACTGGCTTTTCAAAATAAATTCAGGTTATGAACTTTGGAATGGATTCAAGTTTTGAAGGAGGGAGGGAAGGAACATTCTGATAGATTTGGAGTCCTAATGGAACGCAAAAGACATTGGGGAATTTATTTGGAAATGTTGATTACATGGATTTGGAGGCTTATTTTGCAGCTTTTGTAACATCACAATTAAAATCACAGACTGTGTCTTGCCAAGGGCACAAGCCCCTGAGAACATTTTCTCTGCAAGCCGATTGAAATGAACATCTGTGCTCACATGATATTCCTCTTTCATTTCAATAGGATTTGTATGGGGAAAAGTTTCCAAGTGCCCTTTAAGAACAATACTGAAATGTACCAAAGCCCACAAGGAAAAGCTTTGCCATCTATAACCTATCAAAGACGCCCCCTGTGGGCCCAACACAGTCAGCAAAAACCATTGAAGTGGCTTGATCATCAGTCTCCCCAGCTCACTCCAAGTACAATATATTTCCCACAGTCATGCCGCATTCAAGTACACGCTAGTCACTGCTCTGTGTCTTGTTCAACAAGCTCATCCACCATGCCTGGGGTTAGGCAGCTCAGTTTCGTTCAATAGAAGCCCTATTTGCAGTACATCTCATGGATCTGCCTTTATTAGTGTCCTAGGGATCAACGGGCCTTTCAAATGACTCTGTGTTCCCATTAAAATAAAGAGGAAAGGAATGTTTCTTATTCATTTACTTAAAAGCATCATCTGAAAATAGAACTGCCTTTCTTTTTTTAAAAAAAAAAATCCCCAGTAGAGTGATTCTTAACTTGTACTGATGCAAACTGGAATCAAAATGATGTGAATTTGTTTTGAATGCTGAAAATGCCTTTTATCAAACCAAAAAAAAGAAAAGAAAGAAAAACCTTTTTATTTAATAACTTGCTTTATTTTAGAATTTAAGCATTCTATATATGTAGCTTCAAAAATGCCGTTGAAGGAAGGACCCTCAAGGAAAGCTTATTCAGATGGAAAGCAATATTTCCCATAGATATTTAGAATAAATGCATTAATAATATATCACTTCCAAGAGATCTATAAGATTTCAGGAAACCTTATGGGCAGAAAATCAGCTTTAACTATGTGTAAATCCAGCACTGGCATAAAGGTGGAGGTGGGGGTCAACTTGGCCTAAAGACAAAGTGATCCTAAGGTCACAGCTGGAATCGCTGTGTGTGGTCTTGGCCAGTGTTGCATTAGGTCTGGTGCTAAGTGTTAATCTCATGTGTACTTTGAATAAAATAACAGAGAATTAAGTTTTCAAACAATGTAAGTTAGAGAAAACACATCCTAATGTAATATTAAGCCTTTTCCTGACAGAGATGACAGTGCTTTTATGTGCAGCTCTTAGAATGGATGAGTGTTAAAAGGTACAGTTAAGTGTAAATCCACGAGGAACGTACATCTGTCGTGCACTCCTGTTTGAAGAGTTAATGTTTGCTAATCTAGATAGCTCTTGTTTCTCCCCGGTTCTGTAGGGATGAAAGGCCACCGTCTTGTTTTAGACACTCTGTTTTGGATTCCACTGAAATTCATCTTCCCACTTGATTATAAGTCACAGGAGAAGAAGGGGGCAAAAGGGGGCATTAAGTGTTTGGGCTTGGATTTGCCATGCAGTGTGAAAGAGGCTTAATAAAACATTTGAGGAATTACCAAAGGTTACTGTAAAGTGCTCCCTAGTGAGAGCCATTTTCAAAGTAGTTTATTTCATCAACGCTCCCCTTTATTATATCGAGCGTTTGCTACTAATTACAGGAGACTAAAACAGGAGCTGTTTTTGCAACCATTGGACCCATCAGATTCCCCTGGCCCCAACAAACAAACAAAAGGTTTTGGCTAGCCAGAAAGGGGTAATTGTTGCTTCTGAAAATCACCTTTTATATAGATCACAGGATACTCTCTGCTGTTTAACACTAAAATTATTCATTTTTCAAAAACAGAAGAGGTTCCATAGACACATCCAGATTTTTCTCCATCCATTGAAGAATAATATGCTTTGATAGTTCTGCTTTTGAATGAATAGATGGTGAGGATGATGTTTTTCATTTGTAGATATTTCTTGCACAGATATTTCTTCCTGTTTACATGGAAGTTCCACTAAGCTCAAGAGCGCATACCCCAACAAACAAACATGTGTGTGTGTGTGTGTGTCTGTCTGTCTGTCTGTCTGTCTGTCTGTGTTATTGTTAGTCTACATATTTCTTTCCCTCTTGCAAATTCCCCTCCACACTATAATTAGGCTTGTAAAGGCATCCATTATCTCCAAAGGAGGCTTTCTTAAAATCCAAGCACAATAACCCTTTTTTCCAATCACTGGCCAGATATAATATCAGAAGGAAGTTGACCAGCAGATAAGGACCTCCTATAGGCCATATGAACCCTGAGCCAACAGATTCCCCAAAGCTGGTCCAGTTTTTCTAATATGTTAATGGCTGGGGGGGGCAATACATATGAACATGAGTTTTGAAAGACTGAGTCAATGTCATTACGTCTCACTGCAATGGTTCATGCATGTTTACTGGGTAAGAATTCCATGTTTGTGGAAATTCAACACTCACCACCGTATTGTATTTATTATTGTAATGCTGACAGACATCAATCCATGAGGTTTATTTGTTAAAACTGAAGTTGTTCATACATAACTTAGGTCCTAAAATAGATACTGGATGTGGCTTAAAGCCAGATAAAACTCTGTTAGATTGCACCCATAGGCTTAAGCCATCAAAGCACTTTTACCCATTGATGTGACTATTGAGTTCACGGAGCCTCTCTTTAAAAAGTCATCTCTTTTCTATGTTTTCTGTACAGTAGGTAGCTGGCAGCTAAACAAAAATGAGGAAAGAGAGAGTATTGTTCGGATGATGGTTCCCTAATTTCCCAAGCCACTTGTTCACATGTATATTTACTCATAAGTCGCACTGTGGATTTACTTTTTCAGCACTTAGGATCCAAAAAGATTTCCCCTTCTGTTGTAGCTCCTGCGTCTATTGGATGTTCCCCTTTCCTTGTGAGAATGCACTTGGCTTGATTATAGGGTGGCTATATTTTAACAACTCCCTGGAAAAGACCATGATGTTGGGAAAGAGTGAAGGCAAGAGGAGAAGGGGAAAACAGAGGATGAGATGGTTGGACAGTGTCATCGAAGCTACTAACATGAATTTGACCAAACTCCAGGAGGCAGTGGAAGACAGGAGGGCCTGGCGTGCTCTGGTCCATGGGGTCACGAACAGTCAGACACGACTTACCAACTAAACAACAACAACAACAACTACAACAACAACAACAACAACAACAACAACAATATTTTAACAAAGGTGGGCAGGACTTCTGTATCTTTAGTAAGTTGGGATGGAAATAATCGCAGTAGGTGATGTTTACATGGCAAGCACCACCTGCTGAAATTCCGTTCTACACTATTGCACAATATAGAAGACCCCTGTCCTCTTTTCCCTGCAGCCACCCTATTTGATGGATTTACAGTCATAGCATTTTTTTTATGGTAGTGTTCCATTGAAGTCCCTGTGTGGCACACTGTGACACATTGGGGTCTGGCTTGATCTTTGGAAGACCAGTTTGTGGAAAGTCTGTCTTTTAGGCACATAGTTGATGTTTTGCCTTTCTCTCAAATTCAGAGTAAGCAATGTATACTGTATCTGGAATTACTTTTGCCAAAAGGAGAAAAAAAAAACCAGGGGGAAAAGCACTGAAATAAATGGGAAACAGTAAGAGCTGTGTCCTTGACCATCACCACCCCTTCATGTCCTCCAAATGAGGATTCTGAAGAAGAACTTTTGAGTGAACTGGACTCAGTTGAATTTTTCTCATACCTCAGTGAATGTCTGGGTACTTTAACAAACTTCTCCATTTCACTTATGTTTAGACTGAGATAAGCTTAACTCAACAGAAACATAACAAGCAGAACTTAGAGAGAAGTTTCCCCAGCAGCATCTCTCTCCATAGTGAGGAAACCAGCATCTGCTGAATTCCTTCCTGTTAAGGGATTGGGCCATTGCCGAGTTTTTGATTGTGTGGCAATGCTAGATCAGGAATATATAAGAAGCTCAGAGTTCTTTATTGATCCAAAAAACATGGCCTAGATGATTCTTTGTCTCAGCAGCCTGTCTTCCATTTCTGAGCACCAAGCGCAGTCTGATCTAGTTCAAGCCTGCAAGACTCCTTCAAAAATCCATCTCAGATTCTTTGAAATGAAGGCTTTGCAACTTTATCATGTTGAATCGATGCCTCTTCCATCACTTACTTTTGCCTAGCTGATAAAGAGCTCATCCAATTTGGTGAAGAAAGGGAGACCACCAGGGATCTCTGGATAGCAAGAATGCTATGGAAGAATCCTGACTGAAATCCAGCAGAGACACTGCCAGTCAGAACTGGCAGTTATAGGCTTTGTGTATGAATGATCTGACCCAGTAGAAGGGGCTTCAATATTCCTCTGCTGCCTTGAGGAAATCTAGTTCAGACTCAGCTCCTTACCTACAACCTTGTAGTAACAACCCAGTAACTTCAGACAGAATTATTGAAAGACCAATAATTATTATTCTTCCCTGCTGAGCACAAATTTTTGATAATTAATAAAACATAAACACTTCAGATGTTGGCAGGAGCATCACCTGCAGGTACTTACAGAAGAGTTATTGAAATCCCACTCAGCCCCTTTCCAAGGTAATCAGATCTTGTTCAAGGACTTTCGTTTTACAAATTCAATGACAAAAACCATCAGTCTGTGACATTAAACACATACCTTCCACAATGTCTGGTAATGTCAGGCTATCCTAGCATTTGAACAGAATTCAGAAGATGGCCTTGACTTGAGGACCAGATGAAAGCAGACATGGGCTGGCCAGCATTGTGGGACACCCTCAATATAGCTGAAGAGCATCTTCTCCATACCATGTTGATGGTTTTTGGTTTCATCTGTGGCCATGTGTACAGGAGGTACTCTGTAAATACATTCACAGAAGACTGACTCACAATTTATGCCAAAGAAGCACCCATATAAATACATGCACTTTGGACTGGGATGTAACAACATAATGCTATACATGGCTGCAGAAAACCAAAACCCACTGAGTTCAATGAGGAGATTCCCAATAAATGGGTGCTGTACTGCTGCCTAAATCCGTGTCTGCTTTCCCTGAAACTGTACTCAAGAGTAGGTGGCACACTAGAGCCGAACGATCATTTTCATCTATACCTGTAGCCATTAGCATCCAAGGCATTAAATCAGGCCATCAATCAATCTGTACTTTAAATCAGCATGGTGTGGTTTCTGAAGATTTAGAGAAGAAAAAGATATTTCAGGATTGATGAAGCTATCACCAACAGGCCTCATCTTCTGATTCAGGTAAAACATCCCCGATAATTTCCCAATCATTAATATACTTTTCCTTAGCTGAAAACGAGAAAGAGTCTTGTGACATTTTAAAGACTAACAGGTTTTGCTTAGCATAAGCTTCCTTTGGATGCAGCCCAGCCCACTTTGTCACTTCTTAGATTTTGTTGTTGTTGTTACATGCCATCAAGTTGCTTCCAACTTATGGCAATCCTTTGAATGAGGGATCTTCAGAATGCCCTGTCCTCAACAGCCCTGCTCAGCTCTTATAAACTCAAGGTTGTGGCTTTCCTTAGGGAGTCAATTCAAGCCCTGTTTGGTCTTCCTCTTTTCCTGCTGCCTTCTACCTTTCCCTACCTTTCCCAGCACTATTGTCTTTTCCAGAGAATCCTGCCTTCTTGTGAAGTTTCCAAAGTAGGACAGCTTCAATGTCATCATTTTTGCCTCTAGTTCAAGCTTGATTTGATCTAGGACCCACTTGTTCATTTTTCTAGCAGCCCAGGTTATTCACAGTCCAGCACCATATTTCAAATGAAACAATTTGCTGCGATTGCTGGCAAGGCATTGCCTTTGGCCAAAGCAATCGACCCTTGCTATCCACCCTGGATAGAGCGAGACTGCATTTAAGTCTCACAAGATGTTGTGCGAGAGGCGGGAAAGCTCTGGGTATTTAAGGGGCTTTCCCCCTTGCACTGCCCTCTTCCTTTTTCGGGCTCCCACCCGCCCTCCCTTTTTTCTAGTGTGAGTTTGTCTGGTCGCCTTTCAGGGGCCAGATAGGAATTTTTGACCTTCATCCTGATTGGCTTATGGATGGGGGGATTTTTTGCCTATCCCACCCTGGATAAGGGTTGTTGGCATTTTGATGGTTTAATTTTGGTCACACAGGCAGGTAGTGCAGAAATAACAGGTATTTTCGGTGTGTCCCGATTGTAATCTCTGTTAAGCCAACAGCACATCCTACTTCCTAGCACTGCGGATCGTGCGATTACAGTGTCTGTGGCGAGAGGATGCACTGGGACACTTCTGGACCAACAGTCATCAGCAAAAGATGGCTTCAGGTCTGGGGGTGTTTTATTAGCGGCTGGTCGGGTTCCTGCTGTATGGAGACCGCGGGACCTTGATTAAGGGGTGTTGGCATACCCCTGCCTTTCACCTGTTTCTGCACTACAGCAGGCCCCCTCTTTTGGCAAAGGATTTCCATTATCGTATTTTGATGTTATCAATAAAGTGGCCCATATTTAATCCATATCTTTGTCTCGTGTCATTATTCCAGGGTTGGGATAGCAATTATTCCTGTCAACCTTCTTTACTGTTCAGCTTTCACACCTGTACCTAGTCATCAGGAATATAAGAGTGTGGGGGATCTTAATCTTGGTCTCCAGTGACACATCCTTACACTTGATGATCTTTTCTAGTTCCTTCATGGCTATCCTCCAACTCTCAGTCTTCTGATTTGTTGGCTGCAGTCTTCATTTGGACTGAGGATTAACTCAAGATATTCAAAAATCTTTAACAATTTCAGTTTCTTCATCATCAGCATTAAAGCTATGTGAATCTTCAGTAGTCATGAATTTGGTTTTCTTAATGTTCAACTGCAGTCCTGCTTTGGCACTTTCTTCCCTAAAAATCATTTCAAATCATTGCTGCTTTCTGCCAGTAAGATGGTGTCTTCTGCATATCTTATGACTGACGTTTCTTCCACCAGTTTTCATTCCTCCTTCATCTGAATCTAGTCTAACTTTCCTTATGATTTGTTCTGCATACAGATTGAACAAATACTGGAATAAGATGCAGTCTTGTCTGACCCCTTGGCTGATAAGAAACCATTCTGTCTCTCCATATTCTGTCCTAACAGTAGTTTCTTGTCCACAATACAGGTTACCCATCAGGACAATGAAGTGCTAAGGAGCCCGAAAACTCTTTGTTGTTCCTTCTACAACCAACTGACATGGCTATCTGTGTGTAAATTAGTGTGAAATGGTTGCCTTCATTAACATTCTTCCAAATATAGGTAGCCTGTCAATCCATTGACTTAAAATCTAAGCAACTAATCAACTTTTTAGAAAAGGTTGTAATAGGTTGACAGCCTACTAATTATACCTAAGATGTAAGTTAATATTAATGAACCAATATAAATTTTCACTACAGGAAGCAAGTAACTTAGGCAGCAGCACATTCTGCATCTTGAAAATGATAGGAGGAGAAGAGGTGTAGTTACATTGTGGGTGGGTGTTTTTAAGATACCTTTTCGGTTAGATCAGCCTGGCAAACTGGACTGGAAGCACAGAAATCCCTGTCCTGTCATCTGCTCGCTACAGCCTAAGGAGATCGGTACTGTAGTTTTAAATCAGTTTGTATCCCATATACGTCCATAGGAGTAAATTCAGATAACTGGATTGGTGGATCAGCTTGGCAACCTGGGGAGAGGGCTTCTCTTTTGTTGTGCCTGTTATGTTAGCCTCTTTGCCCACCTAGCCTGGGAGTCGTCCTTTGCTCTCCCACAATCCAATGACCCTCCTCGCTTCCAGACAAATTGATCCGATGCTTTTCTCTTTGCCTCGCCCTGCACTGGGAGGGGAATTCTAAAGGCTGACCTCTCTTAGCAATATCGCAAACAGACAGACAGACGATACAGATCAATACTAGATTAACTATAGGCCGGCCCATAACATAAAAACAATGAACTCTTGTGTTCCCTCTTTTCCTTCTATAGAAGGGACACTCGTAGACCAGTACCCACGGGTTGCCCGTTAATGGATTTCCAATTGCCTCTCATTAGAGACAAGCGAGGGGCCTGGGCGGGTGCATTTTCGCGGATGCTGACACGAGAAAGCTATTGGGTGCAAGACACGCCCCACTGACAACCGGGGCATCGATTCTCCTGACTGAGCAAGACACCTGCCCTTCATTTCTCAAACCCCGCTTGTGGCTCTTCGGCAGAGAAAGGGAAAGGCATTTTGCACATGCTTAGATGCTCTCTTAACTTTTTATGCCTTGCCGATGACCTCAAGGACTGGGAAGACGTTCCAACCAGACGAGGTGGTCTAAATAGTATTTTCCTACAGCCCTCCTATTGTTGGTTTTTTTTCCTCCCCTCTTGTCTGTGGATGTTTTTAAGATCCTCTTTAAAATATTCACAGACCTGTTACTTTCAAAGCGCAGCACGGGCAACTTCTCCCCGAGAGCCTCGGCGTTTCTATTTTTACACAAAAAGTGGCTGATTTGTCTTAGGCTATTACTGTCTATTACTGCTGGAAGTCTCGGGGAAAGGTGGGAAGCGGCGGATTCTGGCAATCTGCCTAAAGAGAAATCAATGAAACAAATTAATCCTTCGCAGGCTGCAATGACACAGTAATCCATCATTCAGGACTGCTTTTAGATCCCAAATCAGAGAGCAGAGGGAAAAGCCCAGGGGAACATCACAGTCCACAACTTACACCAACACTGGGAAAATACAGAGGAATCCGTTTATTAAAGAGGATAGATTTCATTTGATTGCCTCCTTCGCCCTATAAAGATTTCGCAGCCGCCGGCCCGCACCTCGCGGCTGGTGTGAGATACCAATGGGTGGATGACTATATTTTCTGAGCCCTGTTCCCAACCAACCCAACCCACCCCGTCCAGAAACCGAGCAGACTGTCTGCCCCCTGAGGCCTACCTCAGTTGCTGCTTCAGTGCCATCTACACAAGATCGCACCCTTCTGCTTCACATTAATCAGACCGGAGCGACTGCACACACCCCTTCTTTCCCTGTGCTCAGTCACACTTGCACGCCCGGGAGTGCAGTCTTCCCTTTGTGATTTAGGAAGGCACTGGCTGGTTAGCTCAGTGTTTTGGGTCTCTGACTGCGGAGCCAGAGGTTGGCAGTTCGATTCCCCACGGGGTCACCTCCGAGCAGAGTCCCAGGAAACCCCCAGAAGAAGGGAATAGTAAATCACGTCGGAGTATTCTCTGCCTTCAAACCCCCGGAAAAGGGTCGCCACATGTCAAGATTGACTTGAGGGGATGTGGTTATTATTATTATTAAGAGGGAATGTGCCAGTGTCAGACTTTGAACCCCACCAAGCTATCAAAGACTGGTTAAAGATCACTAATTCACGATCAGCCGTGGTCGGGGAAAAAATCTCATATTTATTGTGTCATTACAGGTAGCCTGATTAGAAGCCCTTCCGTATTCATACGATACCCAAGTAAATCGACATAAAGTGGTAGGTTTCCCCGTTTAATTCCATAGGACTCACCTCTGAGTAGACCTGTGTTCGGAGATCCTACATTTGCACCCAGCCCCTCATATCTGGTGGGATGCTGCTCAATCCCGCAGAAATGTGTCTGTGGCCCGGTTGAACTAGCCCACTGCACTCGGCACCTAGGTCTTTCCATTATCTCGTTCACTGCGTGCCGTCACGACGACGTCCACGACGGCACAACTTTGTTGCCTTCATTAATTCAGAGTCATTTGCACCAGCCGTGCGGTTCTGTAACTCAAGCAGGGCGGCTGGTAAGAGGCATCCACGTCCCTCGGTCTCGAACTCCTCCCCGGTGGGATTCGTGGGAGAGGAAATTAAGGGCTATCAGTCAGCGAACAGCACGATTGTCTTAGAATTAAACCCCACTGTGTTCAGCGGGGTTTATTCCTAGAAGTGTTCCTGGGTTTTAAACATGTTTAAGCCAGCCTGACTTAAGCCTTTAAAAAAGTGGGGAGACCGGTTTTGTTCCTTCTGAATCTAGAATCGGAGTGGCAGCAGTTTCGGATGTTTTGACTCGGAATTGAAAAATGTGTCTATGCCTACGTGCCCCGACATTTCGCGGGCCAACCTGGCGCAGCTCCTTTTTATCCACTTTTTTCCAGGCAAGGAAAGAGGCACCGGCCATCTTCCCATTGAAAATCTTCTTTTTCATGCTGTCCGTAGGGATCTTACCGGATTCTCCAGTTTTTAAAGAGCACGCCCTCCCCCGGTGTGGCTTTCGATGCTTGGGTTCCCCAAAGAGCAACCGAAGCAACCAGCCGGGAGTCCCGGCGCGCCCAAGACGCGGGAAAGCGCGCGGTCGCGCCACCAGCGCATTTCACGGGCCGCTGGAAGCTTGTAGTCGTTTGCTGTTCCGCTCGCAAGGGCTGCACCCGGTTCACGACCGGCCGGGAGCCACCTTAAGGCACTCACGCACAAACACACCCATGCCGACACAAGCAGCTCCCTCCCGGGAGCCACCCTTACCTTCCCAGCGGCTAAAAGTCCGGGGCCCGTCCGCTCTGAAAGCGCCTCTGAGCCGCTGGCGGATGGTTGTTTGAAACGCCTCGCCCGAGCAGCAAGAAGAATTCGGCTTTCCGGAGAGGAAGGGGAGAACTGGTCCACCGCGGTGGGAAAGCAGGCTCTTTAGGGGAGGCCTGACTCTGACAGGGCCTGAATAGTGGCAGCCGAGGTTTGTCAAAGTGACCCTAGCAGCTAGACATGCGGACAGGCCGGATTGGGCCCTTGCTGGAGCAGAAAAACACCCTGAAGGAGCTTTACAGCGCTACAGAACTTACTCAAGCCCTGACACTGATTGCCACAATAAATAATGGGCAGGGCATCTCTAATTATGAACAGCCTGCATGCATCTCACCATCTGAACAACAGAGGACATGCATTTAGGGAATGGGGTGCAAGCAGGGGGTTCCCCAGTAGAGCATCTATCTCTGGGTAGCCTTGAGCCAAGAGAAATTACCCTTCTTTTTCACAGAACCAGAGGATTTTTTCGAAGGGCCAAATATCTCAATCCAGAAGCCACTGGTTTCAAATACAGACCAAAGCAAAAATGGGTTCTGCTGAAACACTCGTCTCAATGGCTGATCAGAGGAAGTGTCAGATCCTGAACTTGCATTGTATACAGGAACCTAAAAGAAGACAGATAACCTTAGACTTGTCTGGCTCAGCATGCCATTTCCCTGCAGCAACACACCAGATGCCAAAATAGTAGCCCTTTCCTATCATCATTCCCAGTAACTGGTAATTCTAGGCTTGCTGCCTTTCATGCTGAAAAAGAGGAAGTGTCAGATCCTGAACTTGCATTGTATACAGGAACCTAAAAGAAGACAGATAACCTTAGACTTGTCTGGCTCAGCATGCCATTTCCCTGCAGCAACACACCAGATGCCAAAATAGTAGCCTTTCATGCTGAAAGAAGCTGGCAGCCATCTTGGCTACTAGCCATTGACAGCTGGATCCTCCATAAATCTGCCTGGAATACTTTGGCTCTGGATTTCGTGTATCGTTGGGGCTGGTTAGACTAGGTGACCCTTGGAGGTACCTTCCAGTTTTGCCACTCCATGATTAATCCTTTTTTTTTTAAAGCTGTTCATGCTGGGGAGCTTCAACACTTTTTATGGGAATGTCACAGTCTGCTGTGTGAAGAGGAGTATTATTTAATCAATTCTAAATCTCCCAAAATCCAACTTTACTAGATGAATTCTGCTATACGACAAAGGGGCAGGGTACTGCCTACTCGTTTTCTCTACATCATCCATGATTTTATACATCCCTGTCATGCCCTCCTGGGTTTTTTTTTTCCTTTGAAAGCTCCTAATTTTTACCCCCCAGAAATCATAGCAGTTGTAGAACATATTGGTCACTTCCGTTTCTCTTTTCCTGCTCCATCGCATTCTTTCTAGAGAAGCAGCCACATCACCATCAATACGTGTAAGAGCAATATGACATTGGCAGTTTGTTTTCAATTCCTTTCCTAATGGTCTCTAACATGAAGTTTGCCTCTTTTTTTCACACATGTGGCCACACACTGGGTCTGCGTTTTCGCTGCAACTCCCAGTTCTCTTTTCTTGTAAATTATTCCCCAGCTCAGCAACCAAGAGATGATTTTTTTTTAATTTACTGTGCCCCAATGTGTATCACTTTCAAATTGAGAACTACATTTACCATACCATTCACCCAATTTGGATCCGAAACTAGCTTCTTTTTTTAAAAAAAACCAGTCTGGTGTCCTCTGCAAACCTGGCCCCTGCAGTGCTCAGCCCTCTTTCAGGTAAAGCCAGAAAAAATCTGAAAAGTGCTGCTCTTAATGCAGTTCTTTGGGGAGCCCATTTTGTCTCTCTATTATAAGAACTGCCTATTCATTCCTCTTCTTTGCCTACTGCTCTATAATGAATTACTGACCCACACAGCAGGCCGTGCCTCTCCCAGCTTTTGATGAGGGACTTATTGGGGAAAAAACTTTTGAAAATTCAAATGCTTCCAAATCTTTACAACCAGGATATCACAACATCTCCCGGACATTTCCCTTGCTCGTTAGTGGACTCAAATAACTTCATGTATCTAGTGAGGCAAAACCTACCTTTGTAAAGGCAAGCCTGAGGCCTCTGAAAGTCTTGTTCCTCGGTCTGCTTTGCTCCTTAATTGTTCTTTCCACTGTTTACTCAGAATGGATCAGGGAAACGGGCCCTTGATTTTGCCACTGATTTAAGCCAGTGATTTGTTGATCTTTAATTTATCAGCCTTGTCTCTTTAAGCCCCATTTGAGCATTCCTGATCTTCTGCTTACCTGTCCTTGGCAAAAGCCTGTGCTCCTTTTTAGTCTCTTCATTTGGGCAAGTTTTCCATTTCCTCAGCAGAGCCTTCTTGATTGTAACACTTCCTGGACACTGTTTGGTAACCACACCCCATTATACAAGTAGCTTGCACTATGAAACCTAACAAGCAGAAACTATAGGTTGAGGGTGTGGGAGAATGGCCCCATGATCTGTATTTCTACAGTCTGGATGTTCTTGCTACACTCACGTTGCAGAGTCAAACACTATAAAATGGATTCTATGCAAAGATTGACTCAGCATATGGTTCCTCGGAAGTAAATCCTCCTGCACTCATCCGGGACTTTCTGCTGATCCCTGTGCCTACATTGATCCTCACTGCCAGCTATAACCAGTTTTTAACAATGTGCTGTCATATCTGGAGGCATTAACTCTCCAGGGTACGTATCTCTCAGTTCTTTCTCTACCCTTTGTTTTTCTTGTTTTCTATTTAAACTCTCAGGTCTTTGCAACATGAACCTGCCCATCTTTCCTTTCATAAAACTATATGGCCTGATCCCCTGTAACCAGCCCCAGTCAGCATTCTGGCTGCTTCATATTGGACCCACTGGAGTTTCTGAACACTTTCCAAAAGCAGCCCCACACCGTGTATGTTACAGTAATCCAACCGAGATGTAACTAAGGCATGTGTTGCCAGATCAGACATCTCTAGGAATAGGGGGGAAGGGCAGCTAGTACACTAGTTTTAACTTTGCGAAGACACTCCTGGCCTCTGCCAACACGTGGTCATCCAGGCTCAGAGATGAATGCAAGAGCACCCTCAAGCTATGCACCTGTGTTTTCAGAGGGAGTGCAATCCCATTCAGCACAGGCTGAATCCCTATTCCCCAATCTGCCTTGCAACTGAGAAGGAGCACCTCGGTTTTATCTGAGTTATGAATGTGATTGCACATTCAAATATCACAGGATTTCCGGCAGTCACAGTACAGGTTGATTTGAGATTTATTTATTTTTTTCCGATTGCACAGTGTCATATATGAATAGTTTTAGGAGAGGCAGCCATGTTAGTCTGTCCAAGCGTATCTTCAAAGCCACACAAAGAAACCCTTCTCTTGCCCCACCACCACCATCTTTGCTCAGTTCTGATGTCAGTTTTCTGTCTCCTGGAAGAAATTTTACAACAGCACCATAAAACAAACATAGGCTTAATTATTGTATGTAACCAATGAATATTTAGAATGTGAAACTGATGTTTCATCTAACTTTTCATTATGTTTCCATATGTCTGATAAAGTGGACGTGTCCATGAAAGCTTATATTAACATTTAATAGTTTTTAAGGTGACACACATTTTTTGGTTTGGTTTTCTTTTGTTGGATTTTGCCTGATATGTCATATATGAGGTTGGTGTTAGATTGCCTTCTCACTAGTTATATACTAGCTCAGTAATAGATCACTTCTGGACAAGAAAACAAATTGAAAATTACAAACAAAACAGAAACAACCTAGATAAAATAAAATATGTTCCTGGGGTATTTCTGTACACATTAAGAAGAACTTTTGGAACTTTACCAGTTTTTTTGGAACACTGTACAATCCTTTCAAAGCCAAGTGCCTTAACAGCAAACCATAAAAGGATCAACAGAGGTGGGACCAGAAGAAGGAAAGGAAGGAGGGCGGGGGCTGTGGGCTAAAATGTAAATTGTATTGCATTGAGTGTGAACAATGAACTCCTGAATCAACCCACAGCCCCTGTGTGATCACTGAATGCGGATTCAGGTGTCATAGAGGCTACAAATCCAATTGCCAATGTAGTCTCAGCCTGAGTTTCAGTTTATTCACTCTCATCCAGTCCATTACTGACACCAGACATTGATCTGGAACTGAAACAGCTTCTTCAGATTTAGATGGAAAGGAGATATAAAGTTGTATGTCATCTGCTATCTGGTAACTCCAAACACTAAACCTCCAAACAACTGCTCCAGTGGTTTTGTGTATATGTTAGTAAACAGCAGAATAGGACCCTGAGAAACACCACAAACAGGAGTCACCCAGCACCTGTTTCTGAGTTCTTGCCTCCCTCAGGAAGGCTGGATTCACTGTAAAAGATACTGAATGCCACTGAGAAGTCTAAGTAGAACCAACAGGGTCACACTTCCCATCCAGTTCCCAGTGTAGGTCATCCATCAAGGTGACCAAAGCAATCTCTGTCCTATAACTAGGTTTTAAACCAAATTGAAATGGATCTACATAATCCATATCATCCAGGAACCCCTGGAACTGAGAAGCCACAACCTGCTCCAGCACCTTGCTCAAGAATGGAATGTGAGAGACTGGTTGGTATTTATTCAATACCATGGGATCCAAGGATTTTATTTTCCCCCAGCAATGGTATTA